AAAAAAAACCCCACAAAAACACCATTAAAAAACCCATAAAAACCTGGAAAAAAACACCAACAAAAATCACAAATCCTGGAAAAACCACCAAAACAATCATACAAACCTGGTTTTCCCTGATATTTCCCATTTTACCTAATACTGGAAAAACCCAGAAAAAACACATGAAAGTATAAAAACCTGGAAAAACCACCAAAAAATCATAAAAACTTGGAAAAAAACACCTAAAATCATAAAAACCTGTTTTTCCCAATATTTTACCTAAAACTCTAAAAACCTGGAAAAAATACATAAAATCAGAAAAACCTGGAAAAACCACAAAAAAATCATTAAAACCTTGGAAAAACCACTGGAAAAATCACAGAAACCTGGGAAAACGACCTAAAATCAACTTTTTTGTAAGGATATTTTCTCCCCTATCCCTCTGACATCTTTAATCCTTTAATTTTTCCCGATATYCCTGCTGCCGCTTCCCTCTCCTGAAAGACACCAAATGGGATCTGTCCCTTCATTTTTGGCACTCACTGGATGTAGAGGCTCAGGAAAAGGTCTCCTTTCCAGATGATATAAATATCCCGGATGCAGGAAGGCTCGGAGCTGCCGCATTTTTGTCTCAAAAGTCGGGAATTTTCCTCTGTGAGGTTCCACAGGGCTTGGAAGCGATCGTTGAGGAGCACRAAGAGCTTGAAGTTCTCCTTTCCCTTCTGCTCGCTGGGTTCTTGGAGGGGAAAACAGGGAAAAATGCTGGGGGAAAGGCGCAATTCCCAAAAATTTTGTGGGATATATTGTCAGTGTTGAATTTCCAGCTGGATTTTTCAGTGGAAAGGATTTTGGGATAATGGGGATGAGGCCAGAAGAGGCTGATCTGAGGGATGGAGCAACCCTACATGAGGAAAGGAGAATTGAGACTTTTCCAGCCTGGAGAAAAGAAAATTCCAGGGAGAGCTCAGAGCCCCTTGCAGGGCCTAAAGGGGCTCCAGGAGAGCTGGAGAGGGACTGGGGACAAGGGATGGAGAGAGAGGACACAGGGAATGGCTTCCCACTGCCAGAGGGCTGGGATAGATGGAATTCTGGGAAGGAATTCCTGGCTGGGAGGGTGGGGAAGGGCTGGGATGGAATTCCCAGAGCAGCTGTGGCTGCCCCTGGATCCCAAAACCAGCCTGGATCAATCCAGGACAGCAGGAGGTGTCCTTGCCATGGAATGGGATGTTCCCAAAGGTTTCGGGGCTGGCATCACCTGTGGCCATTCCCACCACTRGCTCTCTTGGAAATTCCTCATTTTTGAGGAATGGGAGCAGGAGTGCTCCACAAAAATCTCCTTTCTCGGGATCTTCCAGTCACTCCATCATTTCTCCACTTTCACAGTTCATTTTAATGAGCAATTAGGGCCAGAATGAGAAAAGAATGGGATAAAATTCCTGGAAGATTTAGGTGGAAAATATCCATGGCTCGATCGTGCCCTTCCTGGAGTGAGAGAGGATTTGAGGTGGTCTCTGATCCCCAATTGTTGGGATCAAGGATAAATCCCGTTCCTATGTCATCTTCCCCTAACAGGGAAATGGGGAAGTTCCGAGGAACTTTACGAGTCCACGGAGCTGCTTTTCCTTGAAGAAATAAATTGCATCCCAAACTCTCAGCCCAAAGCTCCAGAAGGAAATTTCCTGCCCTTTTCCCAAACAACTGTTCTTGGGAAGTTTTTTTGGAAGTCATCCCAAAAGGCAGTGCTGGAGGGGACCCCACCCTCCATCCCAATCCAGTCCCACCGCTCCGGGCCAGACAGGTGATCCCATCCTATCCTGGAATATTTCCATGGATTTGTTATTTCAGTGGAGCTGCTCTGATTCCATGCCAGCTCCAAACCTGCTCCCACAAGTTTTCCCTGCAGGGATGGGCCCGAGCACGGAATGGGAGCAGGGAAGGAGAGAGGGCTCTGGTTTAGGGGTTTGTGTGGGATGAATTCCAGATTTTCACGCTGGAAACCCTGGATTGGGAATGCTGACCCAGGTTAAAATGTGGATTCATCCCTAAAAACCACAGGGAACTGCAGCACTGCGATTAAAATTCTCAAAATTCTTAAAATTCCATGTTTTAGATAATCCCTACAAACCGTTTCCTCCAAGGAAATGTCTCCCAGTGGGAATTCCAGTTGGAAATCCCTTCTTCCCAAGGGAAATTCCAGTTGGAAATCCCTTCTTCCTGGTGTGAATTCCAGCTGGAAATCCCTTCTTCCCAGTGGGAATTCCAATCAGAAATCCCTTCTTCCCAGTGGGAATTCCTTTTGGAAATCCCCTTCTTCCCAGTAGGGATTCCATACAAAACCTCTCCCAACTCACCTGTCTGGAGCAGAGGTTTGAGGATGAGGGCATCGATCCGTGCCAGGCAGGAGGAGAAGTTTTCCTCCAGCTGGAGCAACGATCCCGTTGTTTCCGCCACGGACATGGCCTGCAAAACAGGGAAGGAATAAATCCTGGGAAAAGGAGCATCTGTAGGATTCCATCCCAGAGGGCTTTTCCCACTAAAGATCCTTTGGATTTTCTCTCCCAAGGTTTCGGCGCTCCCRGCAAACCTTTCCTGCCCCTGGCAGCGCCTGTGGGTGCGGCCGTGCCCGGAAATTAGAGGAAAAGTTGGGACAGGAAATGGGAACCCAACGGCTCAACCTGAGCTGGCATCACAGGAAACAGCCAAGCCCGTTTGCCTAAATTCCCGATKAAATTTTCCTTTTCCACACATCTGGAAAAACCTGGAATTCCTTGTGTTAATCCCAAATAGTTCCAGATTTGTTTTCCCAGAAGAAAATCCCTCAAATCCAAGGCAGCAGAGAATCCCTTCCCGTCCCTCTCACCGGTTTTTGGGGCAGTCTCCATTTCCTGGGGTTAAAAGCTGTCAGCAGGGCCATTGCCAGCCACCCCAAAAATCCAGTTTCCCAAGGTGCAGGGCTTTGGAACGGCTCCTTTCCAGGTGTGATTTAATTCCACAAGAATTAGATCACACCCGGATTTAATTCCATGAGAATTTGGGATTTGCCATGGCAAACCAACAAAAAAAAAAACATTCAAAAAACCCCAAACCCCACCAATAAACAAAACCCAAACCAAACCAACAAAAGCCAAAACCAAAGAAACAAAAAGGGAAAGGAGCCAAATCCCAAATCTTCCCCAGAATCTTATCAAAACTCCCGGAGAAGCCACGGGAAGCTGTCGYGGAGCAGCAGTGTAACCACGGGAGAAGCTCCAGCAGCTTCCTCATTCCCACKGCTCTCCGGAAAAATGAGGCACAGGAAGTGGGCACGGCCCAGGGCACGTCAGCCCTGCTGGAAAACAGCCAGGAGGTGGAAATGCCCCGGGAAGGAGCAGCTGAGGGCACGGAAAGAGATAAAAACACAGCRTTCCAGGATTCTTGCAGCTTTGGGAAGTGAAACAGGAGTGGGAAGGGAATCATGGAATGGTTTGGRCGGGAAGGATCCTAAAAAATCATCTCATTCCAGCCCCTGTCACTCCAGCCCCTTCCCACTATMCCAGGGTGCTCCARCCTKGGACATTTCCACAGCTTCTCTGGGAATCCATCCCAGCCCCTTCCAACTCTCCCAGACAAGAATTCCTTTCCAAAATCCCACCTGACCCTGCTCCCTTTCCCTTCAAACCCATCCCTCCTTTCCCTGCCGCTCTTCCCACCTCCCACCTGGCTGCCACACAATTCCCACCCGGACGGGAACCAGGATCTGCAATGATCCCACAAATAATGACATTCCTACAGTGGTGGTGGCGCCTTTGGTATGGGTTTSATGGGAACCAGGAGAAGGTGGAGCAGAAATGGTCCAGGGAATGTTTGGAACAGGGAATCTGTGCATGGAAGGGTTGGTTTGGGAGCACTGGGAATGGGRAATCTGCACTGGGAACAGGGAATCTGTTCCAGGAATGGGGAATGGGCACTGGGAATGGAAATGGACACTGGGAACAGTGAATCAGTACTGAGAACAAGGAATCTTCGCTGGGAACGGGGAATTTGCACTGGGAATGGGGAATGGGCACTGGAATGGGGAATCTGCACTGGGAAAACTGAATGGGCACTGGGAACAGGGAACCTGCACTGGGAACGGGGAATCTGTACTGGGAACAGGGGATCTGCACTGGGAACGGGAATCAGTACTGGGAACGGGGGATCTGCACTGGGAACGGGGGATCTGCACTGGGAACGGGGGACCTGCACTGGGAACGGGGGACCTGCACTGGGAAGGATCAGTTTAGGACAATTTAGGAAATTATGGATTGTCCAACAACCACTTGGCTCTGGAGCTGAATCCCATTTATTCCCTCATGGAGACACCACTGATTCCCAGGAGCTTTTCCCTGTTTCCAGGAAGAGCTGGAGCAAAGCTCAGACATCCCTGATTACTTCCCAATTAAATCAAATTAATTAATCAGATGAATTCCCCTGGTGGAGATTTGTCGGGAATTTAGAGCCATGAGCCCCACCCTAATTTATGCTCCACAGAAGGAAATTCCTCAAGGATCCCAGCAGGAAAAAGCTCATCCAGGAAGGGTTGCTGAGCTGTGTGGGGAAAATCTCATTTTTCAGCCTCACCCTTGGGTGGATTCTTCACTAAGAACAAGTCAGAATTCCTAAAAGTCATCACAATCTGCTGAAGGAATTCCCTCCCAGGTTATCCTGAAGTTTGGGCTGGGATGGCACTGCAAACACAGGGATTTTCCAGCTGGAATGCAGACAGAATCCACTGCAGCCATTATTTCTGCCTCAAATCCCATCTGCCTGAAAAATGGGAAGCATTAAAGGAAAATCCCATAATTTTGTTAGCCTGCAAATTTGCATCCATCAAGCTCTGCATACAGACGGGCTTTTACGGGAACASCAATCCCAGGGGGAAGCTCCAGGCACAGAAACGGGTCCTAAAAACCRGGAATCCAAACTGGCTTCTGCCAGGAACAGCAGGAAAAAAGGGAAAGAAATCAGGAATCCTAAAAGGACAGGGTTGAGCTAAAATCTGATTTTTTGCTGTTTTTTTTTTAATTCCTTTATCTTATAAAAAAGAGGGATAAAGTTGTTTCCTGCAGATTTTAGGGAGCTTGTTGGAAGCTTCCAAGGATAATCTGGAAAATCAGGCTGGGGGGGACAGGATTTCAGGTTTTTAGTGGGATCCTGGAAGGAAATCTGCAGGATTTATTCAGATTTTTTTTAAGCTTGATTATTTTGGGGGCTATTTTTGGGTTCAGGGGAGGAGGAAAGACAATTCCATTAAAATCCCTCTCCATAATTTCAGAAGGGTGATGTGAGACTGTCC